CCCCCCCACGTCAATAAGTGGGGGGGATGCATCCCCCCATCCCCCCGCTATCTACGCCCCTGCCCACATAGGCATGATCCATTTTATCATACCAGTATCGAATCATAATCAATCATGGAATCATCCGCGAAGCAGATGATTCCCATATGCATAGATATCTACTATATACACCTCCACTATACCGCCTCGTGTATGGTAGATATCTTGTAGATATCTATGCCCATATGTATATCGCGACACTGACTATAGCGTTTACGATTATTAACTGTTCACAGAATGAGAAAAGCTACTCTATTTCGCCATCAAAATAACTAACATAAGCTTCAAATTGTCGTACGAACATACCTTTGAGAGAATTTGCTCTACCATTTCAATTATTTTTTTAAGAAAATGCAATCATGCTCTCCGTAACCTAAACATCAGCTACTTCCTTTATAATTAAAGCAGAAAAACTTATAAGGAGAAAAGGCCACAGTGCTAATTTTAGACATAAGATTTTGAGACAGGTTAAATCGCAATAAAAACGGGGAGCGAAGCAGAATAAAAGCGGAAAGCAGACCACATTACTTAACATTTTAAGCGCTATATATACTAAGCATGCTTATACTAACATCATAATAGTATCACGTGCGCCAGCTAAAATCTTATTCCCTATTTTAAAATCATGTACGTTTGAAGAGTATGATAAAAAAAATCTATACGATAATCGAATACTATTACGGGAATGATAACTTGCTGATAAAAATAACTGATCAATTAGTCAGCTTTGGCCGATGCCAAGGGTCTGACTTGTGCAGACAACATTCATTGCAATGACGATGAATCAGTCCATCAGTATAGGATTTATACAATGTGTGCGTAGAAACACAATTCAAGGAAATAACCTTCCTACAATTTTGAAGTTAAATTTGAAGTTTTAATACTTTATCGAAACAAACTATATATGATCACAGAGCATATAGCTATACGTTTTATCGTGACGTACCACTTTAGCTCTAGCTAAAGTAAGCATTGCGAATTATTAAAAGTTGCACTCCGAAATGTCGTTTGTTGATTTTGTAAGCAATCTGAGGATTGAATTTGTTGTAACACATGCAGGATTTAAGACTACACGGGAATGATATATCTAGCGATATTTAAGCGCAATGTGAGGTGTAGCAATGTTGAGTCGTTGGCCGTTGGTCTATACTACACCCGCCCTGCTGCGCGGGTGCAAAAGGGCCCATCTCGACTAACTAGCATCAACGAAAAAACTGATAACTTTGCGCTTGTTATGACGAAATGGAACCCCGCTGAACTCAACGTCTAGAAATAATACGGATTTCGCGGGCAGCGCGACTTACAGACGCGCGCGCGGTCTTGTAAACGCCCATAGAGGCGGCGGTCACGGCAGGTTACGGCCGGGCTAACAAGCGCTCTCACAGTGTACGCCATACCGACTCGATGACAGCTCACGCGCCAGCGGGCGAGCCGCGGTCTCGGCTTGAGTTCGCTTCCTCGCGCAAATGCGGGCGGCGAGCGTCTGCCGCGCCGAGCAACAATTAGTCGCTTCACGCGTGCGTCTGTAGCACGTTTCTGTATGTACGTGTGTGTGTGCGCGCGCGCGTCTCGCCCGAGTTCTGTCCGTCTGAGTTTGCGTGCGCATCGCTTGCGCTGCCGTGCGCGCTCGCTTTCTCTCTCTCTCTCTCTGTCTCTCTCTCTCTCTGTGTCTCTCTCCTCGCGGCCAAGCACCGACCGGATTAGTTTACGACGCGGCCACGCGCGGAGGCTGACGTCGCCAGCGACAACAACTCTTGTACACGAGGCATATAGAACGCACCGACGAAAGATTGATTTACTCACACTGTCCGAGGGGCGTATATAAACAGCGGCGTGCCATCGGCGCAGAATTTACTGCCGAATCGCTTGCGTCGACACTCTTCGACTCTTTTTTTCACTCTACTCCGAGTGTACATTATATACATATATATATAAATTGTGGACCGCCGGAGCGGACATGCACCTGTGGGCGAGCAGGAGCCTGTGTGGTACTGCGCACTTGAAAGCTAAGCCTGGTCGTATTGACCGGTGGGTCAGCGCTGGTCGAGAGCGCTAGATGCTCGAGTGTGTTGACAGCCGCTGACCGATCGAAGCGCCGTCTGCGATTATGCGCGCGTTTGTGTACTAATGAAAAGCGCGCCGCGAGATTCGTCGCTCGCTCGACGTCTCCGCCTCGCAAGATTTTCGCCGACTTCCGCAGAAAGTCTCCAGCCGCGAAACAGCTTTGTGCGCGCTCGGCTCCCCCGATCGCTGCGAGCAGAAATTCGCGCACGGAAACTCGCGTTCGGACCTCGTTGCTTTGTTCTCTTTGCGATTGAAAGGCGCCCGTGGTTCTACGCCGTGTTGTTGACGATCCGAGCCCGCCCAAAAAGGTTCGCTATACATGTGCGGCGGCGCAGCGGCAGCGAGGCAGAGCGCGCCTAGCAGAGAGCCGCTATACGCACAACTCGCCCGTGTTCCCGCCGTGGATTTCTGATTGCGCGTCGCGACAGTGTGTTGGCGGCTGCGCCCCACTCGTCGCCCAGCCTGTCTGTCATGCAGAACGAGTGCGACGTAACGCTACAGCTGACGTACTACGAGCCGTGAAGGATGATGGCACGACACGCGAGAAGGACGACAGTCGTACTTGCTGGTTTGTTGATATCTCATTTCGCTTGGTATTGTTTTATTTCCGAGGTGAGGACGGAGTGCTTTTGAATGTGTGGCTATTGCTGAAACGCACCTGCGTGCACGATTAGTAGATTAGGTTTTTGGATCATTTATACCTGCACGTACATTTTAGTTTTGACGTTATGATTTATTGAATGTTAAACATAATTTGAGATTCACGATATGTATCATCATGATTACATTCCATTAATGTTATAGTTATGCCACTCGAACATGTTTTGCACTGTCAAAATTCATTACATTAATTACTTAGCAACGATATCATAAAACAAAATAGACAGCGGAAGAGGGCGTGATATTTCTTGTCGTCGCAGATACAAGACGCGCTAGCGTTCAACCATAGATATAGAAGAGAAGATTCTATATTCTCTTCTATATCTATGGCTCAACGCAGGGAATTCAGTTGTTTACACAGTGCGTTACAAAAATATGAATTAAGGGTACTTAATCACGCCGCGTGTGAGATGTTGGTATGCATTCAATTATATAACCCAATCGTACCTAATCGATACTACCCAATCGTACTACCTAGGCTATACAGGTGATTGTTATTGATATCGATTTATTTATAGCAGGATTAGTTTCAGAATTAAATATACTTTCTCAAAATGCAGTAAGTCTCATCATTTATAAAGCCATATAAATACCGTTTTCGGGTTCATACAGTAAAGTAATAAAAATAATACATAACGTAAGTTAGCAAAATAACATACATTCACTAAGACGAACCTATCTTTTCATATTTATGGTATGTGAGATACGGCTCTGCGACATGTTCACCAAATTAATGACCCAGGAAGTCGCTGTTTCTGTTTTCCTTGCCGTTTTCTTCTTTAATTAAATTCTTTACGATATGTTCTTCTGTGCCCGTGCGTGTTCTCACCCATCTCATTTATGCGCTGTCGTCCCTGCTGCTTTCGTACACCTGTTTGCCACGTTCCGTTAGAAATCGTCACTGTCAAGCAAACAGACAGGGCATAGACAGGATAGCTCCCTTACTACAAGCACAATATTGTCCTTGCGGACCAATAAGTGTAGGAAAATATTTACCGGTCTTGTAAACGTGTTGTTTCGCGCAGCTTCGCCACTGTTCGCTGCCCATTTTACGTCTTTTCAATGCGACCTGTACGAACGCACGGACTGAAGGAATTCACTTGGGGGCACATCGCCGTGCCGGTTCCCGCTGCTGGAATATTGGTGTTGACAGCTTGCCACCGATGATCTCATTAAAAGTTCAAAGCGACAGAGTATCTAGCGACTGCCTTCTTGTCAAGGGCATGCAGCTTGCGGTTACAAGATATGAAAGTGCACCAGTGCGATGCACACTCGCTTCACATGAGTTTGCCGGCCCGGAGAATGAAATGGCGTGGGCTGTGGTTATCCGGAGTTTGTTGCGCTATTCCCAAAGGAACGCTTGAAAATACTGATCTGAGTAAATCACTGTTGTTATAACAAATCGAATTTAAGTCCCCGTTTAACGTAAAGTACGAGAAATTGGGATAATATAACGAATTTGTAACAGTCGGACAGGGATAAAGTAGATTAGTTGTATAGGATGTTGAATAAGAGATTGTGTCGTCAGATTTGTAACGTATATTTTTTTCCGGCTACTATATATATCCTCTAGTTTTGTGGGAATCGAAATAGCGAAAATAGACAAAAAAAAATTGATAAAAATTTGCAACCTTTCCGTCTTGAAACGAATCATTTCATAGCCATAGATCCGCTTATGAATATGCTGCATCGTTTACGCCACGCCAAGTTGACATTAGGTACAAGTGCTGACTATGTAGAGTTTCTTGTGCTGTACCTATCGCCATGCCAGGAGTACAAGCGAACATTAATGAATTTCGGGTTGTTATTGCAGTGTTTCTAACCAGCATTTTAGAGTTGCTGGCGGCTCCTGGTCAACAAGCAGATTTTACACCTTGCGATACTATTGTGTACAACGTGCAAGCTCACAGACCGGATGTCCGGATGCCACCTCCTGTTGTAGGCCGTTGGCTGTCATCCAGGCAAGTGCACATTCTTGTTTACTAGCAGAGCTATCGCAAAACTAGCTTTCACTAACATTAACTTTAGTAGCATATCAATCGCAGGCCTACTGTCGCTAATATACAAACTACACTTATGCGAAACCTCGCTAACAGCCTGATTAAATCAGCGTAACAAACAAACAGTGTACTTACAATGACCTACAGAATAATTAAATCAAGTGATTAGTTAACAATGACCCACAGAATAATTAAATCAAGTGATTATCATTAGTTAACATTTTAAATTGCATCGCTATATGTATGTCTATTTAATCGCTTGTGTAATTATGTAAATAGTGTTCGATAGGTACAGTCATCATAACTCGCGAGATTATTTTTCCGGAAATATATACAAAGACGAACAATGCTCCGTAGTATACTATGTATGATTTCTATGGCTCATAATGAAGGTACCATTTCGACGCATATTAGCGGTTATTGCCTTAGAGCATCGACCAATGTAACGCAAACACTATAACGCTATACCGTTAGCGTTACATTGCTCTAGATTATTATCTTGTTGGAGCTATATTATTTTCACTCGAATTTTAGAGTGGAGTTTCACACTATAACTATAACTATTCGCATTAAGAGAGCACGCGAAGACAGAAATATCCCCGAGGAAATCACGACATTATACAACGCTTTATATGGGTAAAACACATATACATACAACATGTATAGGCATACAACATGTGCCTGCGTTTTAGAGCGGCTATTCGCTTCCACAAACTTCGCCATTCGGTGTCGTATATATTTACGTCCGCCAGCGTTCTGCGGCCGAAAATCGCATTTCGCGAAAGTTAAACGCAATCTCTCTCAATTTATTTTCACGTCGCCTTCGTTTAGCAGAGTTATACATGTCCACATGTCGCATAGCCTCTATGTAGCGCACTGCTCTGTCGCCCTGATGGGCGTATTCAGCGCCTTGTCGACATGCGTTATACAATCTGACCGCGTTTTCCAGAGCATTGCGCCCGAGAGCAGAAATTAATCTATAGGTCTTCACGAATTGAAGCCAACCAAAATCGTTGCTCGGCGCTGTTTAGTAAGCCACCGGAATCTCATATTGTGCGCATATCGGAACCAACTGTATTGCTTGACCTAGAGCATTACACGACGCAAAGTATTACGAATGTTGAGGATTGATAGACGCTGCTGAGTGACTTTGGGTGATTACGGCAAATGAATTGCAAAGTCGTTGATGGCACTATTTAAAACGCCTGGCTGAAGCTAATAAGCACGCCAGTCAGCTTATTAGTAGTGTAGTATTTGTATAGTTTTACAATTTCACTGCGCTTATACTATCGTTAAATCGGCATTAAACCGTGTTTTTCTACCTCCTGAAATTCCGCACTGATCTTATATTAGTAGATGTTCGCGGGGGCATCCGTTGCCTCTTTTAACGAAGTTTACGCTGTCTCGAAAATACATTAAACAAACCATTTGCTTAGTTTAAAAATAATTTATATATAAACCGCTCACTCATCGCAATATTAATACAAATTCAAATGGATGAAAGCAAAGTAAAAATGGACGAGGCTAGAATGGATAGAATGGAAACCTATAGTGATGTATTTTTGATGAACGGGCATAGACACTTCGTTCATGCTAACAAATAACGGATATCCGGTGACGGATATCGGGCGTGATTCTTCTTCTCTTTCGCTGCCAACTGTCGAAGGTTAATATGTGAGTCCAATTACCTTGTCATTTGACATGAAACACGAGAGATGGCGAACTTCAAAAACGCACACCGACACCTTGCTTTAAACAAATCGGTGCACATACTTACTCGCCCTGCAATTATTTAATACTAGGTACACATACGCGCGAATCTTCCGTAATAAATCTGTATTCGCATTTGCTCTAGAGTGCTCATGAGGCGAAAGGCCCTAGGGCGCAACCACATTTGCCGTGTTTGTCTTCCTGCCGTGTCACTTGGTCGGCTAATACTGAATAAACAACCGGCAAAACATTTTACTCCAATCAAAACAGTTTCTGTTATCATTTAAAACTTCATTACTGCTGCGATCCAGCGTGTAGTCTTCCCGTGCGGTGGCGTTTCGTCTGTTGGGAGTACTAACGTCACAGACTGACTGTTTGCTCACATGATTTCTGGCGCTGGCTAGTTTATTATAAATCATTAGGTCTTCTATTCTTAGTTATTCTTTATAATACGACGAAACATTCCAATAATTGTGATATATATTTCTTGTATAAAATTGCATATTCAAAGCGGTACATTAGCACTGCGAAATTAGCAGGTAGCCTTGCTATGCACGGTTCTCTGCGTGCGCATGTATAGTAAGTAGTAAGCAGTAGGCAAGAACACCCGCGGTAGTATATAACGTACCTTTAATACATAGGGTCGGTCGTTTACCTTCTCACGAGCATTTTAATACTACGGAGATGGTGCATATTCTAATCACGCGAGTTACTCGGATAAATATTGTCCGGTGAAACCGCAGAAGATTTCCTCGCAAGATGAAAACGCAGGTTTTCATCCTACCTAAATAATTCGCGGGTGAATCAGTACGTATGTGCTGGCGATCAGATATCGTTATAGGGAAGCCACGCACACTACTGTAACAATTATCCTGCGTGTAGTGATTAAAACCTAATTATTCGAGCAGAGCTAGAAACCTAGCCAGAATGCGTGAGAAATAGAGACAGCTCAGCGATAGACTGTCTATACTCTATAGACAAGAACTGCGCGCGAGAAATGTAAACACGGCAAAGCAAAGAGTTAATATCTGCGGACTGTGTGTTGCCGACCGTGATGCACCCTCCCTCCACACACACACACGCACGCACGTACTTCCGCGCACACGCACACGCTCACGCACCAATGCGCACGCACACGCACGCATACAGACACACGCGCGCGCACGCACGCAGGCACGCACACACTGCGCGATGCTGGTTCACTAATGACTAGTTAGCAGAGGGAAGGTCGAGGACGTCAGGCCGATCGGGGAGGCGGCGGCCGCGGCGGCTTGCTCACACTCACTGGCGTAGAGATAGATTCAGTCGACTCTCGCTCTGGCCGCCGGGCCATAACACGAAACTACTATAAGTGAGTGGACTGAAATTGCTGTAGAGCTTAGCGTTGGGTGGGCCACGTAACGCCAGCGACGTCGCGCGACGACGACTGTACATGGTAGCGCGTCGCTTCTCTCGCGTTCTCGTCGCGCAGCTTCTAACAGCGTTCTCCCGGCGGTTTAATAACGAACGAGAGGATGCGCGCTAATAAAGCGATGATGCCACACGTCAACGCCATATTTATCTAAAAAAAGTTATCCAGCGATATCATGATACCTACCACACACGACTGCTACCTATACATCACGCAGACTGCTCTGCATTTGGCCACGGTAAACCTCACGTCAGAAGCGAACGTTGTCTATAATGGCTTGTTGAATACGCGCGTCTGCGCGACGTCAGCTAGAGATGTAGTTTCACGCGTAACATGAACATGGGTACTGACTAGCAACAAAGTGTGCACATCGTGCAATGGCGAGCAGTTATATCGATATATATATATTAAATTAAATTAATAAAATAAAATTAAGCGATATTTGCGAGCACGGACAGGTGTCTATGAGCCCCGGCTGCGACAGTCCTATCCGGAACAGCGCAGCACGTATGACCACGCGATTTCCTGCGACCACGAATAACCGGAGGTGACGATTGGAACGTGTCGCTATTTACGCTAGCGTCGCCGAAAGACGACGGACGACCTTCCTGCAAAGCGAGCCGCGGTGGCGCAGCGCAGCGCGATGCATGCGGCGACAAAGAACGATCGCGGTGGAAGAGACCTGTAATTAGGCAAACTACAAGTTAACAGTGACAGATTTGCTACATCGATTCCTTCGAGGACTGCCGGCGGCGGCGTGCGAGATTAGAACAAGGCAAGCCGACACGCTGCGAGAAAGTGTACGAAATCAATCGACATGTTGTCCGCGATTCTCACCAACATTTACGTTTGGCATACCAGCGAACACTGACTAGTATAAATTAGAATCGCTGGAAATCGTAAAGTGACTTCCGAATTCGTTATTCACAAAAAACGGGTGTGTTTTTATAAACATCTCTCAGTGGCGGCCACTAATCAACGGTTCATGTCTGAGTTCGGTTTGGTCGCAGCATGCCTCAGGCACCCGTGCCGCTGCGCCTCGCCTCGAGAAGAGAAGGCTTCTACGTATCCGTATACAAAAGGCGATGCGTGCGATCTTGATTGTCATGTTTCGTTAACGTTCAAGCGATGATGCGATAACACCGAGCGAGTTCGAACTTTCGAACAGACCTATGATGCGTGATCTTTCAAACGTCATCGCTTCTCTTTCGGCACGGAATTACATAGCGGATCAGTGATAAAAAAACTGTAATAATTTGCGCATGTACATGGTATAAAAAGCTGCTCTCTCATGTCACTGCAACGCGGGGTAGTGGATTAGTCCAAAGTGGAGGCGCCACATTAATTTTTTGGAATGTTTTTATTTTAAACAATGTTGTTTATGAACTACCCACGAAGCAACAAACGATGTTCGTATGAGTCGCTGTTGTTGGTCATGGCGATGGCAGTGGCGAGGATGGCAGCGATAGCAGTGGCAATTAATAGCAAGTTAATAGTGATAGGGATAACGATGACAACGGCGATGACGATGAAAATGGCGATGATGATGGCGATTGTCAAAGTGATAATAATCGCAACGACAATGGCGATGTTTATCTTGATGACGATGATGATCGTGGTTTGATGGTAATGATGATGATGGTGGTGACGACGACGACGATGACAATGCTGTTGATGGTAGTGGTGGCGATGATGATGATGATGATGATGATGATGATGATGATGATGATGCTGATAATGGTGGTGGTGATCGTTGTGTGGCGACCGTGGCGGCGGCGTCGGCGATAGCGATGGCGTCGGCGATTTTAGTAGCGGTGGCGGTAGTGTTGGCGATGGCGTA